ATGTGGCATTCGATGATGGGGCATTCGGCAGATGAACCCACCATCATGAAGCAACAGGACCTGGTGGGCTTCTTCAATTCAGTACCACATGATCGCATTCTGCAATCTTTGCTTTTCGTTCTGCAGCTTCTAGAAGATCGTTGGCATAAACCGTGGCAACAGCAATCCTTGCAGGTTTCTGTTCGCAGCAAGGATCCCAACTTTCGAGTCTTTCGTGGACGCCGCAGGTTTGCCGCGAGGAACACGAAGACGCTTCCCTTGGAGGACCTGCCTGAGTTAGTTGGGTTTCTACTGCGGTCCAGTTTCTTTCAATGTGGCATCCACACCTTCAAGCAGATTCAAGGAGCCAGCATGGGATCGGCACTTGCACCAGTGTTATGCACTCTGGTTGCTTCGACCACGGAATTTCTGTGGCTTCGGAATTTTCGCACCATTCTGAACAACATTGGTTTCCAGACTGCCGCTCGATATGCGGACAACCGTGTCTTTCATTTACATGCAGGCATTCAAAGAAACCCATGGCTTCAACTACTTTTTCATCTTGAATTTTACGGCTCACCCATCATCCTGGAGGACGTGTTGACTGAGACCTTTTTAGGTACCACATGTTCCAACGTGCAGGGCACCATCACGGTGGTACAACCCACCGATGCTTCAACCATTCGCACGTTGCAGTCAGTTGGAAGGAAAGAACATGTTCTTTCTGGTTTCTCAGCTAGGGTTCGCACGATCATTAGACTTTCACGACCGATGCGCTTGATTCGGCCACAGGTGGAGGACTTAATTGAAATCTACCGGGCCCAAGGCTTCTCACAGAGCGTTCTTTCACCGATTGCACACCACCTTTTAAAGTCTGTCGGCATCCAATTCACATAAAAAGGACAGGACTTTTGGTCAGCTGCAGTAGAGCCGATGTATCAGATGAAATGCGCGCTGTTCTCTCTCTCTTCCTCTTTCTCTCTCTCTCTCTCTCTCTCTCTCTCTCTCTCTCTTTCTCTCTCTCTCTCTCTCTCTCTCTCTCCTGGGCATAGGGGTCGGTCAAGACCCCCGGGCATCAAGCCCACCCGCATATATGTTATGCAGGTATCGGGGGGTGAAGAACGAGTGTAATCCCCCCATTCGCTAGAGCTAGATTCAATACAGTGGCAGATTAGGTGGGATGTACACTCTCACAAGCAAGGATCCACCAGCACTGAAGGCACTTAAGTAACCCAACACAAATTAGGAATAAAGAACGAGTGCCTTCCCCGGACGCTGGAGGAGTTCGCAATTTTTGCGAGATCAGTGCATACTTGTTGAATTCTTGCCATGAAGATTTGCAACAGACAATCTAGAGCACAAACGTGATTACAAGGCATCACTTTCTGGCAAGGATTGAAAGATGCGGGTTTGTCAACACAAGTTTGTAACATAGGTATCATAGAACAGGCTACAAGAATTAAACGCATGTTCCCCCGCGAGAGTTTGCAACTTGCACCATTGAGAATCTGCATGGATAGACGCCATGTACAATCTCACAAGTAAGAATCCACCAGCATGGAAGGCACTTAAGAAAACCAACACGAGATGTAATGATTTATGAGTGCCTTCCCCCGGGCGCTGGAGGAGTTCACTTCGTTTGCGAAATCAGTGCATACTTGTAAGATACTTGCCATTCAGATTGCAACAGAAACAAAAGAACTAGAGTACCATACACTATTATACAACATCACTTTCTGGCAAGTATTTGAAAGGGCACGAGAACAGCAGTTTTGTGGCAGGATTTGGCCTGAGTTTGAGGTCTTGCATCCTTGACCAGTATGAAGTGCGAAACAACAGCTTGCATAGTGAGACCAGAACAGATGACAAAACAAAACACACTATACCAGGATGTCAACCTCTTTCCCCCTGCATCGTGGCTTGAAAAGGGTGGAAGCAAGTGTCAAAGACTAAGGGTTTGGGGATGACACACAGTACTGAAACAGAGCTTTTCCCTTGTATCAAGGACTTCGCAGGGAAAATAAGCAAGGACCTGAGCTCTTCTTCTGCTGGGCGTGAAGGGCGTGCGAGGCCCTTCGGCCCCATGGGCCCCCCATGTGTTATGGGGCGTTTGGAAGGGCGTGAGATAACAACAAGTCCCCCCGATTCAGGCAGAGCAATCTATTGGACTATGAAAAGTCGGGGTTCCTCAGTTGTTTATATCACACATGCATGACATTCGACAGTACAGATGTCCCCCAGCAAGTGTTCGTGGAACAGTGTGTAATAGTGTAACATTTCAGCCTGCTAAACACACACAGATTGTTAAATTGGGACATCTCTGAACCGCTCCACGGTTCCCAAGTTCTTTGCTCAGGTCTCTCTCTCTCTCTCTCTCTTTCCCTTCTCCTCTCCTTTACACGCTTCGGTCGCAAGAGTTTCAGTGAACGCACATACTTGTTGCAGAGTTCACGGCTGCAGGATTAGAATTTTCGTACATTAAAGCCATGAAAAGGACAGCCGCCGATGCGGGCTTTCCGCGTGAACCGCAAGCTGTCAGAGTTACAGTTCAGATGCCAGCTGATCGATGTACCAGAAACCAGGCGATGATCGTTCATTTGGTGTGCTGCAGTGTGGACAATATGGATGCAGTCAAGAAACTTCTCACATATAGGATCAAAGAGATGACAGGACGTCGTCCCCAGCTGCAGTGTTTCCAATTACATCAAAACGGGAGGCATTTCTCTTTCCTTGAACCGATCACTGCATTGGCTACATTGGACGTGGTTCAATTCGTGAGGACCGCTCCAGATTTCAGGGATTCCGATGATGTACAGAACCACCCAACTCGGTGGAATCCACAGGTATGGTGACTGATTCATCCTGTATAAAAGGTACGTGTCAGGACTGTGGTCGTTGCACTGTTGGCTTCTTGAACGTTCCTTGTGCATTTCTGTCGACGCATAGGTTCAGGACCCTCGGTAGAAGCAAGGGAATGCACCATGGCTCGATTCGTTTCGGAGGTTGTGTCAGATGACTGTGACTCTTTCTCCATCTCTGACGAGCACGTGCTCTCAGGATGGCACGTCGACAATCTGAGTGAGACTGACAGTGGGGATAATTCTTCTACATGCATACCTCGATGCATCACCCCGGAGGATTCCTCGGATACAGACTCTGCACACATTGGAGGTACCACGGATGAACCATCAGTGGAGGACAGTGCAGTGGTTCCTGAATTGACTCGTGTTCCGGATCCAGAGCCACTTCCCAACAAACCTCGGCGACGTTTGCGCATGATGGATGAGGACTCTGATGGTGTTAGGGTCAAGATTCTTCCTAACCCACGTAGGATGTTTCGACGCCATATGGAGAACACCCGCATTCTAGGCGACGATTTTTACATTCCTAATCGTGCTTCGCTGATCCTCGGCTTCCTTCAAAAACATGGAAATCGCATTGTTAAAGAAAAGCCAGGACCTAAGAAGAGGTTTCGCAGCACATTGGACTTGGTTCGCTATGTCTTGAAGACAGCGAAGAAATCTTCGACGGACTAACAACTTGCAACCTGCCCAGGTCCCGGAAATAAGACCACAGCTGTTGTTCTCCTCTCTCTCTCTCTCTCCTTCTCACTTTTCTCCTTTCTCTCTCTCTCTGTTCGCTTTTCTCTGTTGTGCAGCATGTGCATAGGAGGCAATGCACGGATCCACTTTTCAGGTTCGAGTCTCCATATCTTGCAGGTAATCAGCAGCCATGGACAATCAAATGATGAGAGACACTCAGTGGCGTGTCAGTCAAGCATCCACAGCTCAGTTGTTGGAGTTGCTCTGGCAGATTTGGGGCAGACTCAATCGCAGGTTCCGGTATCAGGATGGACCTATTCGTTGTTCACATCGGTGCCACCATTGCGAGAATCGTTGCTGCTATCACAGTCACCATACTACGCAGGAACAACAACATGATTGGTACGGGCCGCATTACTGTTTCCTGCACGATGAAGACGGTTACCAGCATCTGTGATCGATAGATTCCGACAGGATCTGTTTCCGACAGGACTTGATGTCGCGAGTTTTTGTAAAAGAACCAGTGCCGGATGCGATTGGATACAGGACCCAGCTTTGCCTTTGAGGTATATATGAGGACGTGTATGCATTTGTTTGCATGTACTTGTAACCTGGAGGTTTGGACGCTTTCACTACTAACGTTCTTCAACAATGCATTGTATGTCTCGTTGCCACAGAAGTCGGACACAGGACCCAGGACGTCCCCTCACTGAGGGGTGTGTGTGCGTAAGCCTCGATTCTAAGCTAGAGGTTTTTGGCATGTGCGATGCAAGTGATTTCCGATGCTACAATGTTCCTTTGTCAGCAGGGGGGCAAGGGCTCCAGTGATCAGCCTTGCCCAACGAAGCCAAATCACTGGAGTGGATGCAGTGGCTGATCACCACTGTGTACCTGCTTTCGGATTAGCCAGTGGGCCCCCTGAGGCACTGGAGTAACCAACACTAGAGTGACAGCTTCATGTTTGCCACAGTTGAGTTCCTGCATGGTTGCTGCAATCTGATCATTCAGGTGTGACTTAGACCTCAGGTGTTCGTCGACTTTAGCAACATATTATGACAAAACTGGAAGTGATTGGTTGTGTTCTGGTGGACCCCAAACTCCGTGTGTGCGCGCCCGCCCGTGTGTACGCGCGCAGGTGTATGCCCGCATGTTTGTGTACGAGTACGAGCACGCGCATATGTATATTGATGTTAGACATAATCATATGGGTGTATACGGGTACATGCGCATCATCTGCATGCCTTTCTGTCTTGTATTTTTGTCACTCGTGCTCGAGAAGTCAGACGAGGGTTGCGGGGCAACACACAACAAATCGCGAAGCGCGCATGTCCACGTTGGAACATACGCAAGACTATACTACTCAATTCAGCGACTCTGACTACAACTAATTCCCACTCTGTCAGCACGATCTCAGCAGCAGGAAAGCAACAGACACCACAAGATGTCCCAGGCTCTAGCTCCAGTTCACACTCCACCAAGCTACATCATCCAGGTTGACAGGCCTTCCCGCTGCTGTCTGTCGATATCCGCCAGCACATCATCGATAGAGACGGGCTGTCAGAAAGCAAAGGTGCAAAGGAGCTCACGGCCACTGACGTCGCAGTCGTACAGACATGATCCGTGTGGATGGCCGTGCCCTTCTGCCTCTGGCTGCTTCCGTTCATCCTCCGGTACAGGCTTCTGCTCCACGACCTCGCGCAGCAATGAGATAAGCCTCATGCCTCCTTATCAAACGGAATTCGAGGCACCTCGAAGGGGTCTGCCTGATCAGCGTCGTCGGCTGCGTAGTCTGTGCACCGGGAGTACATGCAGAGAGTTTCAGTTGGGCTGTGGCGCTGCGATGGTGGTCTGAGATCAACAAGCCGTGGCCTTCGGCAGCATCACTCTCCTGTACTAGCAGCCGATCGGAAGACAGTTTCTTCGATCAGATCACATTGGATCGACACGATGCTGGAAAGCTGACGGTTTGATGTGTTTTCGCTTCACGTTACATAAGTGTGGCGCTCCATGTTTTTGGCACCTGTGTTGTATCGTTCTCAATCTCCTCGTTTCCCTCGTTGTACCACGTCTCTCTTTTGTTGGCTCGGCTGCACCACTGACCCACATAACAAGCACTAAACATGTTGATCGCAATGTTTCGGATGGGCCATCTTGGCCTCTTTATGGACTCTGTGTTGTCAGGCCATGCAATCCACGTCCAGGGCCTCCGGCCTCTCTTCTACGACCCAAAAGGTCCCGGCCTGAGATTAACACGTTGTCCTTGCATTCGGAACATCCTTAAACCTGACACGTGCTCGCGAGAGTGCGATGCAAGGTCCTCTTCTTCCGTTGGTCCCTTCACTGCCTGGTTGAAGTCGACAGCGACTGCTGACGGATAAAACGGCAGGGACAGACGCTCAAAGTGTGCCTCAAAATTGGGCGCGCCCACGTCTGCCTGTCCACCGGCTGACAGCCAATCCAGTCCTGAGCCGGGAATCAAAAAGATGGGCAAACACGACGGCAAAAGACGCAGTTGTTGCATCAGTCTTGGTCCAGAGCTCACCCAGCCACTGGGGCCCAAAGCATAACCTGCATCAAGAATCGCTGGCGGCAGTGCTGTTGCAAGGCCCTGATGTTGACATGGTGGGCATCCAGGGGCGGACCACTTTCCGCCATCCGCCGAATCTTTTCCGACATTTTTGCCGCTTCAACTTAGCAGTGCATGTGAGCTTCTTTCAAGTTTGATACTGGAAGACTGGTCTGATAAACGGCGAACACTGTGCGTGCTGGAATCGCATTTGGGGTCTAGAGCGGACTGGGCCGCACATGCAGCAGACCGATATTCTCAACAGATTATCGAAGATAGCACCTCGGATCACCTCGGATCCCTGCTCCGCAACTTCTCCTCTTTTCGTCGATCCTCACGCATCGATTCAGCTTCGGTTTGGGATGCTGAAGACCACGTCCACTTATGTCCATCCATCCGGCCTTCTCCTCTCGGCGCTGTCTCTGCTCCTCCTGTCATAGCTTGGACGGCTCGCTCGTGCTCGCTCGTTCGTGAAATTCCATGCACTTCAGGCCTCCTTTTGCATCCTCCGCTTGGACGACTGCTTCCTGACAAAGCAATTCGGGCGAATTAATTTAGCAAAGAACGTGCCAACAAACGGCAAAAGACACTTTGCCAGCCTACCGTTGAGACACTTTCCTGAGGAGTTTGCCCGACCATTCGTCGCATTTTTTCCTCCAGCTCCAGGGCATGGCCTTCAGCCCAGAGACAATCACTGCAGTCTTCGACACCCGCAGACTCTGCAGCATGCTCGTCGTGTGCAAGATGCATAAAATGAGACCACGGCGATTGGCCCTTTGACGGCGCTCCTGCCGACTTGCCCGCTAGCAAATCGAAAAAGATTCGTCAGCAAGGCGGGCCGCACTGGACTTGCCCAGAACTGGCCATGACGCATGCCGTTCATCTGCAATCGAATCCATAAGTTCCACCTCAGACTCTTCAGCCGCCATACGATGCCGCTCCCACCTCAGTCCGGAAGCACACTTTGGTTGAAGGTCGAACACTGCTCGTTGCATTAGTACGTACTTGGGCACCCCACGCTTCACGGGCGGCTTCCACACGCCGAACTTCTTCCTGCTGTAAAAGCGGCGTTCCACGTACATGCCTACATCTCGCTGCATGCGATCGAGTCCAACCTCCGCAGCTTTCTGAGCGGCTTCATGCCTGGCCTGCCTGGGTTCACCGAATGGCAAAAAACAAAGAGAAATGCTACAAGACTAAAACATCACCGCCTCTGCCTCTCCTCAAAAGCGGCCGCTTCTGCCTGCAGACGCCAAACTTGCTAAATGTCGGTGCGCAGTGGACGTGTTCACCGTGCTCGCCTGCGCCCTCTGTCGTTCTGTGTCCATTACGTCCCCATCCAATTGCGAGAGCAGCTCCTGGTTCTACATTAAGTCACCAGCTTCGCTCCGTGTGCCAATGCCTTGATTGAGACGCCGGCAGAAAAGCGCGGCAAAGCTTCTGGCTCCTCATGGAGAAGGCTCTTTGCATATCTGCACAAATGACGTGCGCAGACAAAGGTGGTGTGCTCGCCACCACCCTCACGATAATGAGGATGATTCGATTTGATCGATTAATTGCGAAGGTGTGCACATTACATCACATTAACCCACATAGTACAAGCAGGGGGTGGTGCAGCCTACATCCTAGCAAGCTTCAAAATGCTCCGTTTGCGCTTTACTGGACGTGCCGTCGGTTCATGTAATTAAAATTTAAAGCGAAAGTAGGCTGGCTCGAAACTGGAAGTCACGATTTCTCGAAGTGAACCGAGTGAAGCACCCTGGAGTGGCAGCGATAGACAATTTAAGCATCCTGGCAAGGTGCGAACCAAACATATCAGCTCACAACAGCAGTAGCATGAGGAGCCACAGCACAGCTGGAGTAAAGACCGCAATCATGAGTGTGCGAAGGATGCGAAAGCTGGTGTGGTTAGCAACGAGGCTGCCTGGCTCTAAAACCAGGCGTTTACATAAGCTCATCAACCAAAATGAAAGCTCATGAAGAAGCAGGTTCCAGGGATCACCTTTCTGCAGAGTACCTGATGCCTTACACATCGGCGAAACCAATATCACTTCTACACTGCTAGCACTGAACGTTCCTTGAAGCTGCGAAGCTGACAACCCATGATGATCCTCGTATTCTAACTGTTTGCATGTCGGTGGTTTATCAAACCGCCGAATTTCCGCTTTGCTGGTGTTGTGCAGCTACATGCCATGAAAGCACGAGAACCCTCTGGCCTGCGCAGCTTGACCAGAGGTGGCAGTCAAGCTCGTGTGAGGACTCCGGTCGTCGTCATGGGTTGATGCGTCGCAATCATGGCCGCAGCTCAGTGGTCGCCCGTATCTCTGCGCGATGGAAGCAGAAGTGACGGTGCCATCAACACTGTCACATCCGTTTGTGGCACTCTCCAACTTGCTGGGCCTGGGCTTTGCACTCGAAGCAGTTGTCTGTGGCGTTCATACGTAGTGCTGGGGAGTGAACTTTGCATCAGTGCTGCCAGCGAATTGCGAGAAGCGGCCGCCCCTGCAGGTCGGGTGCTTAACAGTCAAGAAGAGCTTGTTCCGCTTGGAAGACTCTTGGAAAGCCTTCTCTTCCCGCCTGGCATTCGGCCACTGTTTCGCTTAGGACTAGCACCCTCACAAAAAGCTGAGGCGAAAACTAGGCGCGCTGCCACCCTCCACACATCCCCGTGCGACAGCATCCTGAAAGCTTGACTTGCACGCCTCATGAGAAAGGGGGTGAATGCCATCTCCTCTGCAGGCACGTCCCTTCGAGTCTCGGCGGGCTCCTAGCACTTCCGGTAGCTAGGGCTGGTATGGCTGGTCCAGTGCCCGCGGATGCCCTCTCAGCGCCGAGCAGGTGGCGTGCATTCGGTCTCCTGCACCACCTCCTCTTCCTCTTGCCTGTCCAGCTCGGCCTCGGCTGTCGTGCCGTGAGGCGGTGGTAGGCAGGGGGTTTCTCGCTTCTCTCGGGGGAACGGCAAGCAAGTCTTCCAAGCTTGGCACGGCCATCCTGAACTACAAGGCTGCAACATGCTTCCTCGCCCCTGCCCTTGCCGACTGCGGCCTTAGGCCAGCACGCCTAAGGCCCAGGGAATCAGGTGCGTGACATGCCAGGGCCGGGCAGCTCGCAAAAGTCTAGTCCTTAGCGTTGTTGTTGCCTCGTCTCTTGTTTTTCGGCTGCTTGCTGGTGCTTCACGCTGTGCTTCTAGGTCCCTGTCTGATGTCCTTGGTCATGATGGCTGCAAACCCTCTGGTCGGGGCCCTTTGAATGCTGTCCGCAGCCTGTCATGGCAGGAATTCACGCAGGCCTGGCGAGTTATCCTGATCAACATGTTGCACGATGGTGCAGCCACTTCATCGAACGATGACTTTGCACACTGTTTCCACGAGGTGTAGCATGAACACCTGCGACTTCCTATCCTTTGGATAGTCGTCGTTAACATGGCAGCCAGGGTCACTTTGGACCTTTCAGCCCCCAAGTCCTTTCCGATTCAGAGACCTCCAGCAGGTCATGTCAGCACAGATGTGTTGTCTCTACTAACACCAAACTACATGGGGAGCCACCTGGAACCGGTATCCAGCAAGTCAGGCGGGGGGTCAGCACTGACTCCTTCCACAGCTGCATGGGTATGCATGTGTGCTGAGCACTAAAACCTATTGGAACCCGTCATTGCCTCCGACGAAATGTTCGCAGGCTGTGCTGTTGCGGGCAGCCTCGCTCTCATCAGCCGCTAGCGAAAGCTGAAATTCTGCATGCGATGGAACAGGATGCAAGCATCCGCATCTGCACACTGTGGCACAAGCTCTGGCATAAAACCAGACAGCCGGGGAGTGAGCTGTACCTGCAGAGACAGCTGTGAGCACTCCGTGGCAGTCCGGTGTGGCAGCGTGAATCCGAGGCGTCAGCACTTGGACGTCCGTCTGCTGACAGCCAACCTTCCAGACAGCGGGAAGGACAGCAATGGACGGATTGCTGCGGCCGAAAACCATCGGTGTGACTCGTGGAATGGACTGCTTGTGCCGTGAAGATGCCGTGTGCTTGCCAAGGCAGTGGTTGAAGTATTTCTATCCACGTCGAATCTTCCCAGATATCCACGAAAAAAGACAAGTAAACGTTTACCCAGTTACAAAAGCTGCTCGTATCACATTTTGCCTCGCACATCCGGCCTGCCTGCAGCGACAGAGCCCGATTGGGAGCAGCCAGCGAAGGAGAGGCTGTTTGCAGCTTGTGTTGGCAGCCAGGCTGGCTGTTGGATCGTTGCCCATGGTGCCACGGCCGCATCATCGGGGACTATTTCTTGCTTAGAGAAGAAGCCAGCCACCTGAAGTGCTTGCATCTGCGTCTGCTGCTCTGGGTCTGTCAGAACAGATCCATTCAGGAGCAAACTGCCAGCAATGACTTCTGATTCTTGCGCAGCAAACTCCGGCAGGCTTGCATGAACCTGGGGCTTCTCCTGCCCCTGGTCCGCATCAGCATGAGACTGCAGCATTCCGTCCATGCACATAGGCCCATGCCACGCTTCTGATGTTTCCTGCTCAGCAGATGGACTCAAGGCCGCAGGGGTCCAGTATTGCTGCACCTGCTGCAACTCAGGATTTGCATCAGTTGGAGATGTTCCTTCCTGCATGCCATGTGATGTTTCCGAGACCTGCTCGAGAGGCGGTTGACCTGGCTGATGCAAGCGGCTGCAGGCTTGCGCTTGCGTTTCCGGCAGCTCGTTCACGCCAGATGCATCAAGTCTCGTGTGGCTTTGGGGAAAACCATGCACCTGCACAAGTTGTGATGCGTTGGCATCGGATTCAACAAGGATTTCTCCCACATTGACGGATTCATGTATTCCTTCCAACATCTCCTCGGGCTCGAATTCGGCGCTTGGGCCGTGGTTGCCCTGGAGCTCTGCTTCAATCTGCTGAGGCTGTGCCGGGTATAGCGTTCCTGCGGCTTGCTGGAACTGATGCTCTGCTTCCAAGCCTAGCCCCTCGACGTTCGGGAAGAGGCCTTGGATGCACTGATCTGTGCCCACCGGTGCAAAGTAGCCGTGGGGCTCTCCATTTATCGGCTCTGAATCTACAGGATGAGCGGTCGCATCGACTGTTCCGTCAACATGCGATGCCTGCAGAGCCTCATCTGCGACTTCAACGGGCAGGCTGTTCTGGGATTCTCCTTCTATCTGGCCCGCCTGTGCAGTTGCATCATTTTCGGAAGCAGGCTTTTCGTCCAATTGCCCCGATTCCTGAGATGCCAAGACGGTTTGACTAGACTGAGGTTCCACATCCACTTGAACCTGCTGAGCTGTTTCACTGTGGTTTTGGGTTCCTCCGTGACTCGTTTGCTCTTGCTGCTGCGGGTTTGGAGAGGCCCCAACATGTGCAGATCCATGTGATGCTGCCGAGATCTCGCCGTCGACTTCGGCACTTGGGCCGTGGTTGCCCTGGAGCTCTGCTTCAATCTGCTGAGGCTGTGCCGGGTATAGCGTTCCTGCGGCTTGCTGGAACTGATGCTCTGCTTCCAAGCCTAGCCCCTCGACGTTCGGGAAGAGGCCTTGGATGCACTGATCTGTGCCCACCGGTGCAAAGTAGCCGTGGGGCTCTCCATTCATCGGCTCTGAATCTACAGGATGAGCGGTCGCATCGACTGTTCCGTCAACATGCGATGCCTGCAGAGCCTCATCTGCGACTTCAACGAGCAGGCTGTTCTGGGATTCTCCTTCTATCTGGCCCGCCTGTGCAGTTGCATCATTTTCGGAAGCAGGCTTTTCGTCCAATTGCCCCGATTCCTGAGATGCCAAGACGGTTTGACTAGACTGAGGTTCCACATCCACTTGAACCTGCTGAGCTGTTTCACTGTGGTTTTGGGTTCCTCCGTGACTCGTCTGCTCTTGCTGCTGCGGGTTTGGAGAGGCCCCAATATGTGTTGATCCATGTGATGCTGCCGAGATCTCGCCGTCGACTTCGGCACTTGGGCCGTGGTTGCCCTGGAGCTCTGCTTCAATCTGCTGAGGCTGTGCCGGGTATAGCGTTCCTGCGGCTTGCTGGAACTGATGCTCTGTTTCCGAGCCTAGCCCCTCGACGTTCGGGAAGAGGCCTTGGATGCACTGATCTGTGCCCACCGGTGCAAAGTAGCCGTGGGGCTCTCCATTCATCGGCTCTGAATCTACAGGATGAGCGGTCGCATCGACTGTTCCGTCAACATGCGATGCCTGCAGAGCCTCATCTGGGACTTCAACGGGCAGGTTGCTCTGGGATTCTCCTTCTATCTGGCCCGCCTGTGTCGCAGCTGCATGGCTACCATTATTCTCAAATTGTTCTTGCATCTCCTCTTTCTTGGTTGCGGCTGTGCTCTCCCGCCCAGCAGGCGGTGGCCGAATCTCATCGTGAATGTGGGGGATCTTTGTGGAATTTGTGGACAGGGCGTGCACTAGCTGCGAGTAATCGAGATCCACTCCTCCATGTGCACCGAAGCACGCACTGTTTCCAGGGCGGCTTCCGCCCTCTGCTAGACTCACCTTGCACAGCACGAACACGGAAAACGGGCGTTGCCCCATCCACTGCGACTGTGAACACCCGGCCTGCGCTGCAGCAACTCGGGCAGCTGCAAACGCATAAACATCTGCCGGAGGCTGAGAACTTGCCTGTGCTCAGGAAGACTGGAGTGCATTTCCTTGTGCTATAGAGCTCCGCGATGCTTCGCGCCTCTGTCAGCATGTCGAGCAAGAACTTGTCAAGTCGGTGCTTTGCCAAGTATTCTCGAGCAAACTCCTGGGCTCATGCCAGGGCTTGTCTTTCTTCGCTTTTCAGTGAACCTCGCGCGGACAGTGGCACCTTTGAGGGCATGAAATGAGGCGAGCCATTCCGCGGATCGCGCAACGGAGTGTGCAGTGAAACACCGAAGCATTTTCTCCAAAGACCAGAGCCGCGGCCGTTAGGGACGTTTGGTAAGCCCACTCCAAAGACTCCAAGCCGACCCCATGACCGGCGATGTCATGCATCATCGAGGGTTCAAGCCTTACCGATCAAGCTTGCCGAAGGCAAGAACCGGGCAGTTGCCACAACTTTGCAAGTGTGGCAAAACATGCGAGGTCTTGCGAAGGAAACGCAGATGTTGGCCCAGAGCATTGGGACTTGGACCCCTGCATGCTCTCAATGTACATATTGCCCGTTGGAAAAGCTGAGCCCACCACTACTGCTGCAGTCAAATGCACCTCCACTGACACACGATGGAAAAGCAAACGAACCGGAGCAGAAGCAAAACATCCTTCATCTGCACATGCGCCCCCCGAGCCCCTGACTGGATCGTCCGATGCAAGGCACAGTGGCCAACAATCTGAGGCTCGACATTCCTGCAGCTTTACGCTGCTTCCTCTCAGAGCCCCGCTGCCAGTGACCGAACGACGTAACGAGCCTCATCCCTGTTTCGGAGCTTCGACATGCTCCGCTCCATCACGACCACCACTTCTGCATCATCATGACCTTGGCCCACTCCAGGCAGCACAAGCGTTCAAGCTACGAAGACTGGGTCTGATTTCAGATCTGGACGGAGAGTCAGCTGTTTCGTGTGGGGCAACCCATCCGACAGGCCTCCCATGCTTCATGGATGACATCCGAAGACGACTGGAGCCCGAAAAGCGGCCTCGAATGACCACTTCATCACCAGAAACGGGCATCAGCAAATCAATCCGGAACGGATTCAGGCCTATCGCAAGGTCAACGTCCAGCGGCCAGACTTGGGCAGTAGAGTCAGCAGAGATTGCACGATGCTCAGACAGGTAGAAATGAGTCGGGGTGGTCAAACAAAAACGCAAACTACATGACTTGCTGAAACGATCCTGCAGGACCCTCGGCAAAGCGTAGCTTCATTCCGCCCTCCGGAATGGCTCCGACCAAAAACTGAACTTGCGATTTCCAGGCCTCAGGTCACTCACCCTCGATGGCTCCAGTCTCTAAGACTGCAAGCGCTAAACCAGCTGTGCACGAGGTCTGGACCATAACGGAAAGAACTGCATCGCTGGAGGCACCTATCACCTGTTATGAAGTAGTCACCGAGCACAGTCGTAGGGCTGGCCTCTTACGGTGAGACTCGTCCAGCCTTGTCCACGACGATCACTGTCTGGGCCTGCCCTGCAGCAGCGGGCTCCTCAATTCTTGCATCCATGCTGGCCATCTCTCGTACTGCAAGCACCTGAGCAAGTGGCACTTTCTTCCTCACCTCCAGCCAGCCACATGAGGTGTCTTTTTCGTGGGGCTATGGCCTATGGCTGCAACAGGACAAGGCGACTCTGGACCTCCAGGGACGTCAGGCTCCGATGGCTGAAAGTGCTTGGCCAGGAAAGCGAGCGGGTCTTCTGGCCGCTCGCGCAGGACCTCACGGACGTCTACACACGCACGCTATCGCACCCTCTCACTCGGCAGATATGCGGTGCTTTCACTCCCGCTTGCGTTCACTGCTACACGAAGTGGCACGAAGACTGGCTTTGCTGGTTCTCATACCCACCCAGTACCCAGACAGACATGCAAGCAAAGCGTGAAGCTTGCGGGGATTTTGGCATTTGACGGTGCCCTGCACTCTCAAACACACCTCTATACCATGCTTCGTTAGCCTAAGTTTCGTCTGAGCTCCCAAGCCCCCTACCGCATGCCAGTATAAAAAGCAAACTGCATCCTTTGCACAAGTTGAGCCACACTCTCTCCTAAACAGTCATGCCACGGACAAGCCGCTTGTTCGCGCAAAGTCAAGCCTACAACATCCCACAACATGGCAATGCACTGCTGCTGCGCTGAAGAGAGGCGCACGGTCCGGAGCAGTGCGGCAATCAGGTGTCGTAACCTGTGGCTGCAACAATGATGCACCAGTGTAGCTGTGGGTCATTGAATGAAGCAGTGCAGATCGTGGACAGTACGAGGCCGTAGGGGTGGCACTGCTCCACACTTTGGCTGCTCGGCATCGGTTGATGTGCACCTCCGACAAGGTGAAATACGCACGTGCCACATGTGTTTCGAATCAGGTGTGGCATCTGGTCGCATCAACCAACAAGTGCAACCAAAATATCACTACCCCTCCCAAGGAACTGAACTCTTTCGGGCAGCATGCCCGCCTTCGCGGCACGACTTCACCTGCAAGCTTCCCATTCACGAGACGGGTTTGTCAGCGCAAGGTCTCACCAAGATGGCTAAAGGAGCAGTGTCTTTCGCATGATCTTTAGCTCCAGGTAGAAGCTAACGGGGACTCTGTTGTAAGTAGAGCCAGTATAGTCTTCCTATGTCTTCCTAACAGCGGTACCCGGGTGCTTTATAATTGCGATGTTACGTACGGTAGAATGGAATTAGCTCAATTACCTGGGCCGGGCGGAGGACAAGGCGCAAACACGCCTCTCTTTGGATCCGACACGACATAGCTCTGTCGAACGGGACGCAGGGCAGAACAGAAGCGGTGGTGTCAATGCACGGCGGGCAGTTGCACAGAAAGCGTACAGGCATGGTTTTCGCTTCCCGGTCCAGAAAAACCAACACGTTCTCAAGCGGACAGCAACGAAATCCTAACAAGCCCACAAGTCTTACTCGTCTTGTCATGCTCGGCCAACCTCACAAGATCCTTAACCTCCCCCACCCCCCCGCCCCCACACCCCGCAGAGCTTTCACAACAAATCGCGGTGGAACCGGGTCGAAGAGTCGATGATGCTGGTTTTTGCAACCATGAGCGATGCGCCAACTCCCAAGCTCCCCACCTTGAAGTGAATCGCTGGAGGCGACCTTCCTGGCAAAACACTGCTGCCACACACCTCAATTCAAGGAGCTCGCTCAAGAGTCAGATGTGATGCCTCCGGTGAGGGGCTCCAACTCGGCGATGAATTTTTGCGACCTTCAGGCACACCGACACACCAGTCCGTAAGGCCTGCATGCAATGAATGATATTATGTCAGATATCCGCATGAAAATGGCACACCAAAAGACCATGCTCGCAAGCTCTCTTTTGCATGGTGGATTGGTGTGGCTGCCGACTCCCGGGATGTTCCTTCGGTCGAAGACCTCAGACAAGAATGAGGCCGTTCCGAAACAAAGGAGGGTCCCCTCCTTCAGGGCCTACGGCACCTGTGGATCGGGAACCCTCCTTGTACAGAAAAGAGTTCCAAAATTTTGTGCCGTCCAGAAAGAAGCCTGTACAGGAGGCAGCCACATCCTCACCGGGCGCCCTGCGCGGGCCCATGGGTGAGGTCAGAAGGATCGTCGAAAATACGATCTTCCAGAATAGAGCGGATGAGGGAAAAATGCTCGAGCACGGGTTCCACCGGCAAGCAGAGAGATGGGGTGAAACCTTGAAAGTTGGGATGAGTCAGGTCATCAGCCCAAGTGTTGAAGTCACGCTTGACGTGGGAGGGAGCGAGCTGCATACCATGCCGGTGCAGCTGGTACAGTATCTCCATGAGGATGACCGACGTTGGCATCCTCTTGGACTTATCGTTCAGGAGCGAGTACACATTCCCTTGGTTGTCGCTGACCAGGGGGAGCCTGAGGTTCGGTATGAACGCAGGCGCCTTCTCCATGAGAAAGTGAGAAAGGATCAGTGTGCCAAACATCTCAAGGGCAGCAATGCGCTTTTTCGGGC